TGGACGGATTGCAGAAATACCTTGTTCCTCTTTTGCTCAGCATTTCTTGAGGCAGCATAAGAAGAATAGAACTCCCTCACAAGTGTCTTATTATACTCATCTGGGATTTCAGTGAAGAACTCCCATTGCCTCTTCTTAATGTTCTCTATCATGTGAGGGTAGTGCTCTTTCAGACCGTTTAGACTCAACTGCTTCTCCTCAAGAATTTTTCTCTTTGCTATCCCTTCTTTGTATAGTTTTCATGAACCTGGGACCCCAAATCTTAGATCTTCCCCACTCTTCCGTCGTGATTCAGTTTGTAGGTCAACGGATGGCAGGAGGTCAATTTGTGCCTCCTCCTTTTCAGACTGGGAGGAGTGCTTAGAAGTGTCGCGGGTTATTTTAAGTCGTGGACGTTTAGACTGTTGTGCTTGTTGGCTCAGAGCAGCAGCCTATTTCTTTCCACAAACGGGTGGTGAACGCATTGCAAAAGACTTCTTTGATGCTATTCCTATCAATGAAACAGTGTGTGAGGGGTGGATATAGCATAGGAATCATGTTGATAGAAAATGAAAGAGACAGACAACTTATGCGATGGATTATGCGATCGCATAACCACTTTGCGGATCGCAAACCCATCACAAAATTACATGCCCAAGAGGTAACCAATTATGCAATCGCAAAAACCACCGCAAAGTTTGTTATGCGACCGCAAAACGATCATATTTTTGTTCACAACAAAAGTAATTTTTTTCTGACCACTGTTTGCGGCAGCTTTGCTATCCGCAAAACAAGTTTGCGACCGCATACTCCATCACAAAATCACATTGTACCAGGCCACCTAGGGTTCCAGTTTGTGATGACTTTGCGGATCGCAAACCAATTATGCAGACCGCAAAGATCGTCTTTCTCAGTCAAAAATGGTCAAACCCCTCAATTACAGGACTCCTATCTCTCGAATGCAAAAATTTACCCACTGAGATCCCCACTGATCAACTTTGAGAGGAAGGGAAAAGAAAGGGAATCAAGCACATGCCATTGTTCAACATAATTACGAGAAAGAGGGAATAAAATCACATACCACATATATGCGCAAGGTAAAAATTAATTCTGAGATATGAACGGGGTGAATCTTTCCGCAATGTTGATCCTTACTATGTGATTTTGTGTGTGATTCGACTGTTTTGGCTTTTTCTTCTGTTTCTTTTGTTTTTGTATTTTTTTGATGTTGTGTGTGTTGTACAATTTTCTTGTGTGAGTGAGGGTGAAGGTATGCGAAAGGTTTAAGGTCTTATACCTGAGCATTTTGCGGTGGGCAAGTTGATCGCATAACACATTATGCGGTCGCATATGTGTTATGCGATGGATTTAGGACTGGGTTGCTCACCTTTATTTAGCGACGCATTCTGCGGTCGCATAGTTGTTATGCGAGCCGCAAAATTTGAAACCTTACCGCATCTTTGTGGACCCAAATTTCCAATTTCACTGACTCTGTCTGCAACCACTATGCGGTTTGCAAAGTTATTACGACCGCATAGTTGCTGCAAATCCCTGATTCTTCTTTTCTTCACTTGCCTCAGTCCTTGCACCATGTTTCATGGTATTTTGGGTTACCTTCATTCTAACACACACGTCAACCTACTCAACACCAACAACTAAACCTATAGAAATGAAAAACTAACAAAAGGGTATTACCACACATGGGTTGCCTCCCAAGAAGCGCTTGATTTAACGTCGCGACATGATAATGTTGGTCCCATTTGGTCTACTCAGTGGTGGGGGTTGGTGTCGGACTATCCTTGAGAGCAAATTGTTCTACCAAGTGCTTTTCTCCTGTTGTACCGAGGTAATGCTTAACCTGTTGGCCATTTACTTTGAAAGTTTGAGTTCCGTCCTCCGACTCCAATTCAATAGCACCATAAGGATACACATTCACAACTTTATACGGGCCAGACCAATTGGATTTGAGTTTGCCCGAAAATAACTTGAGTCTTGAGTTGAAAAGTAAGACCAAGTCACCGGATTTGAATTCCCGCTTTAAGATCTTCTTGTCATGAACAAACTTCATTCTTTCCTTATACATGGTTGCACTCTCATAGGCATGGAGATGGAATTCTTCCATCTCATTAAGTTGTGTCATTCTCAGGTTAGCAGCTTCGGCCCAGTCAAGATTTAACTTTTTCAGAGCCCACATGGCTTTGTGTTCAAGCTCCACAGGCAAATGACACGCCTTACCAAAAACCAACCGGTATGGTGAGGTGCCAATGGGAGTCTTAAATGTTGTGCGATATGCCCACAATGTATCATCTAGCTTCCTTGACCAGTCAGTCCTGTTTGCATTGACAATTTTTTCTAGGATGTTTTTAATCTCCCTGTTGGAAACTTCAACCTGACCCCTCGACTGAAGATGATAAGGTGTGGCCACCTTATGCTTTACGCCATACTATTCGAGAAGTCCGGTGAAAGCCTTGTTGCAAAAATGAGAACCGCCATCACTAAGGATGGCCTTGGGAGTACCAAACCGCGTGAATATGTTCTTCTTCAAGAATGCGGTCACACTCCTTGCCTCATTGTTGGGTAAGGCGATTGCCTCGACCCACTTGGATACGTAGTCCACAGCCACCAAGATATATGTCATGCCAAAAGAGCTCACGAAGGGACCCATGAAATCGATCCCCCACACATCAAAGATCTCGACCTCCATTACAAAATTCATAGGTATCTCATGCCTTTTAGAAATTGACCCTTGTCTTTGACATTGATCACAAGCCTTGACCATTTGATTTGTATCATGGTAGATCGATGGCCAATAGTAGCCACATTCGAGAACTTTTGCTGCCATCCGGTTTCCTCCATGGTGGCCCCCAACCGGGGAGTCATGGCATGCCTTGAGAATTGGCATTACCTCATCTTCCAGAACACACCGCCGAATGATGTTATCGGCACAAATACGGAATAAAAAGGGCTCCTCCCAATAGTATTGCCTACACTCCCGCAAGAACTCTTTCTATTGATAAGCTTCTAATCCATCGAGAACAAGGTCACTAACCAAGAAGTTAGCAATATCGGCATACCAAGGAGCAAATGTGCTAGACAATGCCAATATGTGCTCATCTGGAAAGGCATCATTGATTTCAAGGTTCTCTTTTGGCCTCCCTACTTCTTCAAGCCTAGATAGGTGATCCGCAACTTGATTTTCTATCCCTTTTCGATACTTGACTTCAAAGTCAAACTATTGCAACAAAAGGACCCACCAAATCAATCTAGGTTTGGCATCCTTCTTCGCCATAAGATAGCGAAGAGCAGCATGATCGGTGTAATCACTTTGGACCCCAACAAATAGGCCCAAAATTTTTCAAAAGCATAGACAATGGCAAGAAGTTATTGCTCAGTCACAGTATAATTCATTTGAGCACCATTGAGTTTCTTGCTTGCATAATAGACAGGGCGAAGGATTTTGTTATGCCGTTGACCAAGCACCTCCCCAATAGCAACACCACTGGCATCACACATGAGTTCAAATGGAAGGGACCAATCGGGTGTGACAATAATAGGTGCCATGGTGAGCTTTTCTTTCAATTGTTCAAAAGCTTTGAGACACTTCTCATCAAATACAAACTTTGCATCTTTTTCAAGGAGCTTGCACATGGGATTTGCAATTTTTGAGAAGTCCTTGATAAAATGCCTATAGAAGCCGGCGTGCCCCAAAAAGCTCCGGACACCTTTTACTGAAGTGGGTGAAGGAAGCTTGGAAATGATTTCAATCTTTGCGCGGTCAACCTCTATGCCTTGTTTGGAAATTTTGTGGCCCAAAACAATGCCCTCGTCCACCATGAAGTGGCACTTCTCCCAGTTTAGCACAAGGTTTGTTTCTTCGCATCTTTTGAGCACTTGTTTAAGGTTGTCAAGATAATGCTCAAAGGAATCACCCACTATAGAGAAATCATCCTTAAACACCTCTAGAAAGTCTTCCACCATGTCCAATAATATTGACATCATGCATCGTTAAAAGGTAGTTGGGGTGTTGCGTAGCCCAAATGGCATACGTCTAAAGGCAAAAGTCCCATATGGGCATGTGAATGTTGTCTTCTATTGATCTTCCAAGGCGATATTGATTTGGTTGTAGCCGGAATATCCATCCAAGAAGCAATAGAATGACCTTCCTGCTAGCCGATCAAGCATTTGATCAATAAAAGGCATAGGAAAATGGTCTTTGCACGTGGCACTGTTAAGCTTCCGGTAATCCATGCAAACTCTCCATCCGGTCACAGTTCTCGTTGGGATGAGCTCATTTGTCTCTTTTTGGATCACGGTCATTCCTCCTTTCTTTGGCACATATTGCACCGGACTCACCCAAGAACTATCGGCAATGGGGTAGATTACCCCAACATCTAACCATTTGATGATTTCCTTCTTCACCACCTCTTGCATGGAAGGGTTTAACCTTCTTTGATGCTCCACACTAGGTTTACTTTCTTTCTCCAATTGTATCTTGTGCTCATAAATTTTGGCGGGAATCCCTCGGATGTCCGATATTATCCACCCAATGGCTTGTCGGTGTTCCCTTAGGACATTCAACAAATGATCTACCTGCACATCATTTAACAAAGAAGAAACGATTATCGGTAAAGTATCATTAGCGCCAAGAAATTTATACCTTAAGTGCGGTGGAAGTGGCTTGAGTTCATGTTGTGGCGGCTCAATAATTGAAGGCTTGGCGGGGGAGTGACTTTATTCTCTAAGTTAAGAGAAAGTTTATTTGGTGCTTAAGTGTAGGACCCATGTCCTTCTAATGCATTCACTGATTCCATGTACCCCTCCATGTCTTCACCATCAAAATTCACCAATATAGCCGCCAAAGCCTCACCACGGCATTCTTCTTCCATCTTCATATCAATTGTGTCTTCTACCTCATCAACAACATCAATGACTGAGATGCTTTCATATGCATGTGGAAACTTCATACCCTTACTTGCTTGGAAAGTGACCTCTTCATCATTAACTCGGAACTCGATCTCATTTCATTCCGAATCCATAAGTGCTCTTACAGTAGCAAGGAATGGTCTCCCCAAGATGATAGGGATTTCTTTATCAATAGCACAGTCAAGGATCAAAAAATCGGTAGGAAGGAGGAACTTTCCCACTTTCACAAGGACATCATCAACAATCCCCACCGGTCTTTTGATTGAACGATCGGCCATTTGCAACCTCATGCTTGTAGGCCTCGGCATACCTAACCCCGCTTGCTTGTAAATAGCAAGAGTCATCAAATTAATTCTAGCCCCATTATCACAAAGAGCCTTTGCAAAATCTCGCAACCCAATAGTGCATGGAATGGTGAAGGCTCCCAGGTCTTCTTTCTTTTGAACGGTAGTAGTTGCAATGATGGAACTAACCCGGTGAGTCACATATACCACTTCATTCTTGGTGGTTTTCTTCTTGGTTATCAAGTACTTCAAGTATTTAGCAAAACCTGGCATCTCTTGAAATGCCTTCACAAATGGGATGTTCACCGATAATTGCTTGAGAATGTCATAGAATTTCTCGAGTTTTCTATCATCAACCCTCCTAGAAAGTCTTTGAGGGAAAGGGGGGGGGGGATCTAGGAATTGGTTCTAGAGCTTTTGGTGCCTCTTTTACCTTTTCCTTTACCTCTTCACGGTTCGCTTCTTGGACTTTCACTTCTTTTGGGAGCTTTTCAACTTCATCAACAATTGGCAGCTCAACTTGTGCCTCAACTTCTTGTTCAAGGTCGTCCACTTCAACCATTTGTTCATTCTCTCTTTGAAGTACTTTCCCGCTTCGAGTTGTGATTGTCATACAATGAGAAGTCGGGCCACTCCATTTACTTTTTGGGTTTGCATTTGTATCACTTGGGAGTGCACACTTTTGCTTTGGATTTTTCTCTCTTGACAGATCTCTCATTTGCATTTCTAGCTTTTGTATGGATACGGTGTGTGACCCCACAAGTTCGGCCATGCTCTTCATTGAAGTGTCGTTTCTTTCTTGATTTTGCAATACTCTTTCAAGCATGTTCTCCAATTTGGACTCACTTGAAGAACCTTCCTTCCAATGCGAAGAGTTGGAGTATTGCCCCTTTGGTGGAACATAGGGGTTTGAACTCCGGTTTGCATAGTTGTTGTTGTTGTTGCTCCAATTTCCTTGACTTGAACCACCTTGATCATTTTGCCACTGTTGATGTTCTTGCCCTTGCGAGTTAGGCCTCCATTCCTTTTGTTGTCCATAACCTTGGTAGGATTGTCTTTGGTAATCACCTTGAGAATTATGGACATAGTTTGCTTCCTCGCAATCTTCATTTGACAAGGGTTGCACATCTTCCACAACATTTACCTTTTTTTGTTTGTCTTTTAGTGAACATCTTGGTTAACACATTAATGTTGGTGGAAAGCCTGGTAATTACTTGATCTCTCTCTTGGTTCTCCTTAATCATGTTGGTCAAAGAGGGAGTACCGTATGTAATTTCACCTGTGGTATCTTCCGAGTGCCAAGCTTGATTATGTTCTGCCATCTTGTCAAGAATTTGTGTGACCCTTGTGAATGTTTTGTCCATAAAAGATCCATCTGCCACATTTTTGGCTATGGATTGATTCAATGGATCCAAACCCATGTAAAACTTCTCCAACAAGATTGTGTCCGGAAAACCATGATTCGGCGACCTCACTAGATATAGCTTGAATCTATCCCATGCCCCATGTAGGTGTTCCCCCGGTAGTTTCTTGAAGAATAAAATTTTATCTCTAAGCTTGGACTTCTTGCTTTGTGGGAACCATTTAGCTAGGAAAGCTCGGACGAGCTTAGGCCAAGAGTGAATGGAATGAGGTGGTAGATTTTGAATCCATTTCCTTGCTTCTCCAGCTAATGAGTACTTGAATACCCTCAGTCTTAAGGCATCATCTGACACGTTGTTCTACTTGTGCATCGCACACACACCCAAGAATTTTCTAAGATGTTGTGTCGGATCATCATCGATAGAATTTCTGAAAAACCCCTCTGCTTTAAGCATTAGGATCAAACCATGTTCCACCTTGAAAATAGCAGCATCAATTCATGGAGGAACAATGTCATTTGTATCATCGATGTACTCATCTATATCCGCAAAAGGATTCTCTTTTTCTTCATACTCGGCCATGTTTACCTAGTACACCAAGCAAAGCAAGCAAAGTGTGATGGAATAGAAAAAGACATAAAGTAAAGCACACACTAAATAGTAATTTCAAAACCGTATTCCCCGGCAACGGCACCAAAATTTGATACGCTCAAATTACACCTAAATAAATGGTGTAAGGCGGTCGATTTCAAATATAATAACCCAACTAGGTTGGGGTCGAATCCCACAGGGAATATGAGTGAAATGATTACTTGAATAGTGTGAAACTTGACTTAGGTCGTAATTCTATAAATGTTAGCTTGAAAATTGTGTTGTAATTATGTGTAGTAAAGAAGACGATTGTATTGTAAGAATGTATTTAATTCGATTAAGGAGACCAAGGTTGTGTCTCCATCGATGGAATATAATGCTATCCGTATTAATATGATATGTTTCTAATGGAAAGTCCTTTGATATGCAAATGGTTTCTAAGTGACTACCCAATATTTCCCAATAGTTGGGTAATATCTTCTCTTTAAGATTTTCCCAAATATAAAAGAGTTGCAATTAAAAATAACCAATTTATGCGAAATAGATCCCACTTATTCCTAGGCGATTCTATTAAACAAGGTTTAAAAACCTTGAGTTTTTGATATTCAATTCTACCAAACACTAACCCAATTTTCCAAGTAAAGATAGAGTGAAATGGAATTAGTTAATGTTTGCAACCACTAACAACACATGAAGCATAAGACCTTAATAAATATCAACCAACCATAATATATATATTCAATGGTCAACACCCATTAATATTACACCCATCTAGGGTCCACAACCTTAGTAGTTAAAACTAGCTACTCATACTAGAATCTAAGAATGAAGCGATAAATAAAGTCATAAAACTTACAAAGATACAAGATTCTTTCTTCAAAATTCTCTAAAACAATGGTATATTCAATGCTCTAAAAGTAGCCTCTTTTTCTGACTCAATACCCCAAAAAACCCTAGTAAATCTATTTATAGTGGACTAAAAGTCGGGGTAAATATTTGACAAAAATGCCCTAATAGAGCCCTTCTGCGACCGCATAATGATCGCAGACCATGTATGCGGTCCGCATAGTTTACAATTGCATTGAAGAATTTCAGATATTCAAGCCCAGATTTCCACCGCATTTCCATTATGCGGTCCGCATATCATTTATGCGACCGCATTTTCCATCGCAGAAGTGCTACGGAAATTCTTCAGTTGCAATTATGCGATCATAGAAGTGTTATGCGTCCGCATAATGGACCGCATATTCTTCTCTTCAATTGATCAAAAAACTTATTCAGTTTGCGGTGAGTATGCGATCACATATTACTTCTGCAATTGCATACTTGTAGCATTCCTGCCCTTTTGTGGCTTTTTGACTTTCTTCAAGTCTCATGCACTACAAAACACCAAAACTTCATAAGAATTAACTAAAAATGCATTGAAAGACGAGCTAAAGTCTATGTAATTGGTATCAAAAGTGCCAAAATTCTACGGCACATCACCCTGCGGTTTGGGTCATGACAGAAGTGGTATCAGAGCAGTTCCGTCCTAGGGAGTCTACAAGCCATGTCTAGTAGAGTCTTGTTTATGGGCGTGTTGTGCACCACACTTATAAGTAGGAGGCTACAAGGCATTTAGGACTGTCACTATTTCTTCTTACTCTAGATCATGTGGTAGAGGTCAATTGTAAGAAATTCAAACTCCTAAATTCTATTTTATTCGCTATACAACGACATCTACATCCAGAAAGATAGTTGGTAAGAAATTGAATGAGGTTGTGGAAGAGTTGAGTCAGAGGAACTCGATTTTACGTCATGCTTATGATGAGTAAATGTAAGGCCTTCAGTAGATTATGTGTGTACTACGACGTGTGAGCTTCTTGATAAGGAGCCTTAAGGCATGCATATCTATCTACCCCTGTGGTAAAAAGCAATGAGAGAATCAGAAGGTAGATACAAGTTTCAACAAGTAAAAGAAGCTAGGTGAAGAAGGATACGAGGTACCCAGATAGTGAAGATTATTTGTATTTACAATTCAAGCAGAGAAATATAAGCATTCTGAGTTACCTTCCACAACAACAAAGATATATTCACTTGACAACACCCATTTCAGTTATGCCATGTGGGAGCTAACAGATATAATATAAGAGAATGATGGGATATCAATATCCAACTGGGATTAGAGTAACCCAAAATTGTGGATGGATTATTATCATTAGCTCACATTTTTGAGGTATATTGCAAACGTGGTAATGGTTCTCCTTGTGAGACACCCAGATGGTGTACTCTAGGATAGTACAATCAGATATGAATACTAGAATATTCAGAAGTTTCAGAAGATTGGCATTGGAAACCTAGAAGGGATAAATATTTACCTTTGTATGGCTCTCGACCCTAGTAAAGAGAGAGTGTTAGGAAACCCGAAGAGCCAGTGAGTTGAATCAAGGGGGGCTAAAAGTGAAAGAATGTTTTGAAGAAGTTTTCATAATAAGGTGATAGACAGAAATATTAGCAGGAGAATAAGAAGAAAGTAAATGAAGCATTATGAGTAAGATGTGATAAATGGATGATAATGGTAAATCAAAATATGACAGGACTACAAATTCTATAGTCAAGTGAAGGAAAAGACAAGAAGTTACAGGCCTTGAGACAATAAAAGAGTATAAGCCATAAAGTCATGTCCCCATTTCGAGAAATGAGTTGGTGACTCATACGTGATTACCAGAAGGAAAAGTTAAACCCCCAGAGTAATAGAAATTAGTTTGGGCTAGTGAATAAGATAAACTGAACATGAATTCGGGACCAAAGGATTTAATAATAGTTGACATCGTGAGAATTTCAAAGATCGCGTTCCGGCGATAATTGAATAGATAACAGAAGAATAACCTTTAAAGGTCATTCAGGAAGACGCTTCCCTAAAACAAGCGCTGTGAGCAGAGTTAAGCTTAAGGGACTAAGTGTGCCAGTTACACTAGGTGTCACCTTCGTACGTAAGAAATTCAGTTATCCACGGTACATAAAGGTTACCACAAGGCAAGTAAAAATCCACGGAAATGTGAAAAGACAACAAATATGAAGAGGTGAAACATTTATAGGTAAATCTTCATGGCATTAAATGTTAGTACTCCCCTAAAGGGGGAAGATGGTGTGATATGGTATTAAGTCGGAGTTATATGGTTAAGGTAACTATGGAATAGTAAAGGAAAAATGTGGTAGAAAGGCGAAAGGAATGAGATTTGCATTTATTCAGATTCTACAGATATGATACGACTCCAGAACATTATGTAAGAATGATGACGGGGAGAGGCAGTAAGATTTCCATCACTAGATGATATTAATAAATAAGTGCAAATGAACACTGGATACATAAGGAGCCAGTGTGCGGGGTAAGTTAAGACAAATGATATAACCCAAGAGAGATTACGCAGAATATGGACTAACGAGTAGTTAGTAGTTGATTCAGGAAGAGCCTAGCCATGGCTAGACAAGAGGATACTGACAAATCAGCAGGTTGTGCAAGATAAACATAGTGAAACCCAATATAGGGAATTCAGTCTCGCAAATATGATGACATTGTAATCCTTGAGAAATATTCAGATAGGAGTTGGGGTTGTTAAAGGTACCGTATAAGTGTTACAAAAAAAAATGGTGCCACTGAGAAGACGGTCAAAAATTTCAATTCAGAATCAACCTTACGAGCACAAGGGCGTGGAGGAGTAAAAGGGTCTCTCTTAAGTACTACAAGAAAGACTAGATGAGGGAATAAGCAAGAAGGCTTCAACTAATGCATAGTGACATAAAGAAGAAATGGTCTTGTAACAACAGTCTCACAACAACATTGTATGCACTTCATAAGAAAGTGGCACCTATCGTGGCTAATGTAAAGGGAAAAAAATCAACAGATGATATTTGAGATCATAAGAGTTACAGGAAATTCTTGTATTTGTGGGCAATGAGATAAGCCATGTATTCATGCAACAAGTGGCAGAACGACCATGAAAAGTAATTGCTTATGTTTAAAGACAACTAAGAAAGCACTAAAAGAATTACCCGGCCCACAATTTAGAGTTAGCCGCGGTGATTCATGCACTAAAGATGTGGAGGCACTATTTGTATGGCATTCATGTTGATATCTATATGGATAATAAGAGCCTTAAATATATCTTCAAGCAAAAGGAATTGAATTTATGCCAAAGAAGATGGTTGGAGGTACTAAAAGACTATGACGTTGATATTTTATACCATCCGGGGAAGGCGAATGTAGTAGCTGACGCCCTCAGCCGTAGATCTATGGGTAGCCTGTCATATTTACAGCCAGAGAAGAGTGGGATAGACTATGAGATTCATCAGCTAGCTAGTCTTGGAGTTCAATTACTGGACTCAAGTGATACCGGAGTTACTATTCAGGACACGGCAGCATCCTTTTTAGTAACTGAAGTGAAGGAACGCCAGTATGAGGATCCTGTGCTAGCTCATTACAGAGATACATCCCCTCAAAAGGAGAATACACTATTTGAGATTATAGGAGATGGAGTCCTCAGATATCGAGGTCGATTATGTGTTCCTAATGTGGCAGGGTTGCGCCAGCAGGTTATGGGAGAAGCTCACTATTCTCGTTATTCCATTCATCCAGGAGCGACAAAGATGTATCATGATATCAGGGGAATATACTGGTGGGAAGGAATGAAGAAGGATATAACAGAGTTTGTTGCTTAGTGCCCTAATTGCCAGTAGGTTAAGATTGAGCATCCGAAACCCGGTGGATTATTGTAGGCTATAGAGATTCCGACTTGGAAATAGGAAGTGATTAATATGGATTTCATCATAGGTTTACCTCGTACCCAGCAAAAGTTTGATTCTATATGGGTTGTTGTTGATAGACTTACAAAAATTAACCATTTTCAGCATGTCAGGACTACGTATTCATAAGAGGATTATGCAAGGCTTTACATTAAGGAGATAGTACGACTTCATGGTCTCTCTATATCTATTATCTCAGATAGAGGTGC